GCTCAAAGTATTTTTTTTTTATTAAAAAGTTTTATAAATTTTACAAAAAATAAAAGACAATACAAAAACAAAAAACAACATATACAAATAAAAACAAACATTACCCAACAAAACCCCCCTTCCCCCACCCCTACCCAAACCCCCCCTTCCCCCCCCAGGGCCTCCCAGAGCAGAATATAGGCTTAATTAAAAAAAGTTAAAAAAATTTATATTTATATAAAAAAAGAATATAAAATAGAATATATATATATATATATATAAAGTTAAAAATTATGAAAAAACTATATAGTATTTTTTATATCAAATTTAAATTGTATGAATTTTATCCATTTATCCCAAACAGCAAGGAATTTCTCTTGCGTTTGACCCTTTAAGAAAGCCGAAATCTTTGCCATTTCCGCCAAATGAGACACTTTAAGAAACCATTCCTGCAATGTAGGCAAAGATTCCTTCTTCCAATATGGTCCTACTAACAGCCTCGCAGCTGTAATCAAATTTAACATCAATATAACCTCCTTTGTATCACAATCAATAACTATACCTAACAAAAATAATTGTGGAGTAAATTTTACCCTCCTTTTAAAAATTCTCTGGATATTCCACCATATCTTAATCCAGAATGCTTTTATCTCTCTGCACGACCACCAAATATGATAATAAGTAGTGTCCATACAACCACATCTCCAACATTTAGGTTGTAAGTCAGGGTACATAAAAGACATTTTTTGTGGATCAAGGTGCCATCTATAAAACATTTTATAAAAGTTCTCCCTTAAGTTCTGTGCTTGTGTAAATTTGACATTTCTCACCCAAATAGTTTCCCAGGTGTCCAATGGAACTGGCTCACCAAAATTCTGCGCCCATCTAATCATACAATCTTTAATTAGTTCCGTTTCTGAATCCAATTCAACTAAAACCCCATAAATCCTCTTAATGTGGGTTTGTCTTTGATCCTTCACTTGCTTAATAAGATTTTCATCTTCTCTGAGAAAACCCACCTTACAGTCCATCTTCCATCTGTCTAATAATTGCCTATATTGGAACCAAGAATAAATAATATTTTCTTGTGCTAACTCTTCCCGTAATTTTAACTGCCAGTTTTGTCCATCCCATTTAAGTAACTGTCTATAGGACACCATATCCATTTTAACCCCTCTTTTTATTCCTTCTATTGCATGCCAAGGTATAGCCCATAATGGTACTTTGAAATCACTTTTATAATATTTTCTCCAAACCCTAAGTAAAGAAATTCTTAAGATATGAGATTTAAAAGCCCAATCCATTTTTTTATTAAATATTAAATAGGCATGCCACCCAAAAAGTAAATTCCATCCCTCTAAGTGAAGTATATCAGAATTTGTCAAATTTACCCAGTCACTAACTAATGTTAAAACCACCGCATCATAATATAATTTCAAATTCGGCACCTTGAGTCCTCCCCTCTCACGGAAATCTTGCATAATTTTAAACTTAACCCTTGGCTTTTTCCCTGCCCAAATAAATTTATTAAGGCCTTTCTGCCACTCAGTTAAATTGATCTCATTCTTCAAAATCGGTATCATTTGGAACAAAAAGAGAAACTTGGGTAGAATATTCATTTTTATCACTGCAATTCTTCCCATGAGGGATAATTGCAACTTTTCCCAATTCTTCAAGTCTCTCTGTACCCTAACCCACAACCTTTCATAATTATTTTTAAATAATTTTGCATTAGAAACAGATAGCATCACCCCCAAATATTTTACCTTATTAACAATTTCAAAACCCGTCAAATTAACCAAAGTCTGCTTCTCCCGACTAGTCATATTTTTAGGTAAAATTTTAGTCTTATTAACATTAATCTTAAAACCCGAAACCAAACCATAATTATGAATCAACTGTAATAATTTTACTACAGAATAAGTAGGTTGCGACAAAGTAATAACCAAGTCATCCGCAAAAGCTCTTAACTTATACTCTTTTTTATTAACTTCTATTCCTTTAATTTCCTGCGACTCTTGAATTTTGATCAACAGTATTTCCAGTGTTAAGACAAACAGCAACGGTGATAATGGACAACCCTGTCTAGTACCTTTCTCTATTGTAAAAACCTCTGACAAGCCTCCATTAACGATAAGTTGTGCCGTTTGTTTTTGATATATTACCATAAGAGCTTGCAATATCTTTTCACCAAAATTCATCTCTTCCATTACTCTTAACATAAAATGCCAATTCAATTGATCAAAGGCTTTTTCAGCATCTAAAAATATCAGCCCTGCAGGAACTTGGTTATTTTTATCTAAATATTCTAATAAATTAATAATTTGTCTGACATTATTTTTCATGTACCTTCCAGTTATGAACCCAGATTGATCTTTATGCACAAGGTGGTGCACCACCCTCATAAGCCTATTTACTAAGATTTTTACAAATATCTTATAATCCACATTTAAAAGAGATATAGGCCTATAATTCTTTGGTAAAGTAAGATCTTGATCTTCCTTTGGAATCAATTATATAAAAGCAGTACGCCATGAGGGAGGAATCTCTTGACCCTGTAAAATGCCATTAAAAAGATCACCTAATGGTTGAATCATCTCCTCCAATAAAGCTTTATAATAAACAGCTGTTAACCCATCCGTACCCGGTGCTTTCCCTGGTTTCAATTGTTGAATTGCTAGCGAAATTTCCTCCTTAGTAATTAAACCATTAACTTCATGTTTCTGATCCTCTGTCAATTTAGGGAAACTAACCTCGCTTAGATATTTATTTATCTCTAAAATTTGCACATTAGTAGATTTATATAATTTTTTGATAATAATCCAGAAAAGATTTCTTAATCAGTTCCTTCTGAGAAACTAATTTACCCTTGTAATTTATTTTATCTATTGTTCTCTGTCTCTGTTTCTTTCTCAATTGATAAGCCAGCCATCTCCCTGGCTTGTTAGCATTACAAAATGTATTTTGTTTCATAAACAATAAATTGGTTGCAGCTTGATCTGCTAACAACATATTAAATTGTGTTCTTAACAACTTTAAGGATTCTTTAATACTTTCATCAGAAGGATTTAAAATCAAAGACTTTTCTTTTAATTTAATTTCATCTTCCAATTCTTTACGTTTCTGAATCTGTTTTTGCTTATGACAGTTATTCATTTTTATCAAAATCCCACGCATAAATGCTTTCCCTGCATCCCATACCATTGACATTGAAGTCCCCTTATACATATTCAAAACAAAGTAATCCTTTAAACACTCCTTTAGTTTCTGAACATTTTTTTCTTGTCTAAATAAATTCTCATTCACCCTCCAGGATCTTCTCTCCTCTTTTTCTTGAGTCAACTCCATCCAGACTGGACTATGATCCGTCAAAGACCTAGGGAAAATCTTGACATTCTTTACTCTATTATATAAGTCCGTTGTAATCAAGAAGAAGTCAATTCTTGAGAAGGATTGGTGTCTATCTGAAAAGAAGGTAAAGTCTTTCTCCTCTTGATTACATTCCCGCCAATAGTCCCGTAATTCCCAGTCCTCTTTCATATCAAAAAAGGCTTTAGGTAATTTTGCCTGCTTAAGAAGAGGAGAGGAACCTTTTTTGTCCCTTTGTACATCTAAGACACCGTTCCAATCCCCCATTAGTACCACGGATCTATAGTCCAGCAGATTTATTTTTTCATGTAAGAGTCTGTAAAATTGTTCCTGTTGCTGATTTGGTGCATATAGTCCCACTATAAGTACTTTCTTACCATATAAGCCCAATTCAACCATCACATATCTCCCTTGGGGGTCAGACTCCACCAGACAAACTGGTAGATTTTGCTTTACAGATCACTCAAAGTATTAATACCGCTTTATAAAACCCTAGTAAGACCACACCTCGAATACTGCAACCAATTTTGGTCACCATATCATAAAAAAGATGTTGAAAGTTTGGAAAAAATTCAGAGAACTAAGACAATCAAAGTCCTGGAGACTAAAACATATGAAGAATAGCTACGGGACTTGGGTTTGGCTAGTCTAAAGAAAAGAAGAAATAGGGGAGACATGATAGCAGTGTTCCAGTATCTGAGGGGCTGCCACAAGGCAGAGGGGGGCAGGTTGCTCACCAAAGTACCAGAGGGAAGGACGAGAAACAATGGTTGGAAACTGATCAAAGAAAGAAGCAATCTGGAATTAAGGAGAAACTTCCTGATAGTGAGGACAATCAACCAGTGGAACAGCTTACCGCCAGAAATTGTGGGCCCTCCATCACTGGAGATTTTTAAAAAGAGACTAGACATTCACCTGTCTGAGATGGTATAGATTCTATTCTATTCTATTCTATTCTATTCTATTCTATTCTATTCTATTCTATTCTATTCTATTCTATTCTATTCTATTCTATTCTATTCTATTCTACCCTACCCTACCCTACCCTACCCTACCCTATCCTACCTTTCCCTACCCTACCCTACCCTACCCTACCCTACCCTACCCTACCCTACCCTACCCTACCCTATCCTATCCTATCCTATCCTATCCTATCCTATCCTATCCTATCCTATCGGTCACATCCTGCTTCTCTGAGGCTGTGGCTGAAGGCATTTTGCTTATGAATAGGTGGCTCAATCTTTCTGAATCTTTCTCTTTCTCACTTTATACAAAGATTCACCCTCTTTATGGTTACAGACATTCACGTTTGAATTTAATGAATATAGTTTAACTAAAGTTTTCATAATCAATTATTAATGAATACTTCATTCTATATAATGTTGCTTTGCCGAGTGGCAACTTGCTGTGAAGTTAATTACTTTGCAGTTAGGTTGCAAGATGAAACTCAAAAAAAAAAAAAAAAAAAAGACTGCTGCAAGATATGGTCTTGCCATTGCTAGGGAATACCAATAAAATGCTTTCATAAGCAGGCAGAGCAGGCAAAAGACAATTTCACTACGGGAGCAACCTTATGATAATAAAGCTGCGGATCCTTGCCTTTAAATATTGCCATTTTGTGGGTCTCTGGAGATGTGCCTTTTTCATTCCAGCTCCTGCCTTATGATGGAACACTGCCTTGAAATTTGACCCCCCCCCCAATTATCCTTCTGGAGAGCACTGAGGACCAGGAGCTAGGATAGGGTGTCAGAGGGAGATGAGAATGTGAGTGCCTCAGAGAAGTGCAGCTGCCATGTCAGATGTTCCTATTTGAGGTTTGTTGTTCTTTTGTTCATTATTGTATGTATTACTTTGATCGATTGTAAGCTTCCCAGAGTTATTTTACTATACACATAGTCCTTGACTTATAACCATTCATTTAGTGACCGTTCAAAATTACAACAGCACTGAAATAAGTTTGCAATACTGGTGAATATCTGTAGCTCGGGTGTAGGATGAGGGTGAAGGTTCATTCTCCGAGCTTGTGGGTCAGTTTCCTAATGCTTCGTTACCAGGCTAGGTAACATCTTCAGCGGAGTTTAGGGGCTGTCTGTGTCAGTGTTACTTCACACCCTCCACTGACTCTGACCTGAAGTAACCTCCCCATCACAAGACCCATCACAAGCCTCTCTCTGATAACTCACACCTGACCCATCACAAGACCCTCACTTGACACACCCACACCTGAAGCCCTTATAAACTGAAGAGCACTGACATTGACATCCCCTAAATGCTGTTTACTTGGCATGGTAGATGTTACCTAGCCTGGTAACAAAATGTTCAGGAAACCAGCCCACAAGCTCGGAGAACGAACCTTCACTCTCACTGAAATAAGTGACTTATGGTCATTTTCTCCACTTCTGACTGTTGCAGCATCCCCACGGTCATGTGATCAAAATTCAGATCCTTGGCAACTGGCTCATATTTATGATGGTTGTTGTGTCCTGGAGTCATTTAATCACGTTTTGCAACTTTCCGCACAGCAAAGTCAATAAGGAAGTGACATTCACTTAACAACTGAGTTACTAACTTAACAACTGTGGTGTTTCACTTAACCGTTGTGGCAAGAAAAGTTGTAAAATGGGGCAAAACTCACTTAACAACTGTCTTGCTTAGCAATGGAAATTTTGGGGTTCGTTGTAAATTGACGACTGCTTATATCAACGTTTTAAATAAAAACAAATAGACAAAAGTATTTCTAAAGTCACAGAGTTTGACTTGAATACAGCTTTGTAGCTTCACAGGGACAGATTGTGCCGAATTCTCAGACTATTGAGTAATATTCTGGGGGAGGGGTGTTTAGAAATCCTAACATTAGCTGAATATAAATATTTTTTGCAAATCGGTGCAATTTGGACAAATTGGGAAAGCTGTTATGGACAAACTGCCAGATAAATTTGCTTCAGTTGCTGTTTAATGACATTACTTTGTAGATACCGGTAACTGCTTTTCCTGGCTTCCATAAAGAATAGGAAGGTGGCAGGTTGATGATTCAGTCTTGGTGATGGACAGCTTTCTTCTCCAAATGATGTTATAATTAATTGATCTCTAGTTCAGTGTTTCTCAATCCCTGCAACTTTAAGATGCATGCTGGTTGGGGAATTCTGGGAGTTGAAGTTCATGCGTCTTAAACTTGTCAGAATTGAGAAACACTGGTCTAATTCATGAGATTTTTAAACAGGGATTTTTTTTATTAAAATAGCTTTGGAACTTGGGCCTAACTTTTTGAAGAATGTACAATATTAATTTTGTTGCTCTCTTCAAACTAGTGGCCCTGTCTGCACCAACAACTAACTCGGGTCCCCAGTTCTGTAATATAGTTCAGGAATTTTTAGCCCAGCTCTGCTAACACTACTAAAAAATGCAAAACATAATCTGTGAGTCTATTTTGTGTATATGAGTCTGTGAAAGAGATGGCAAAGAAGAGGTAAAGAAAGGAAACAGAAAAATATGTATAGGAGGAAAAAACAAGAAGAAAAATTGGGAAAGAATTTGTTGTCTTTGTCAGAAAAAAATATGCTTCTTACTTAGATTAGATGTAAAGGAGAAATGCATTGTAAATTTTGTTGATATTCCTAAGGTTAATTCTTGCTAGAAAATGGAATTGTTTAAACAATTTAAGTAGCTTATACCACACGTTAGAACAAAAGACTGTTTATTTCAGAATGTTTAAAAAAACATTATAAGGAAGGGTAGAATACAAATAGCAGTAGCAATAGTATTTAGACTTATATACTGCCCCATAGTGCTTTACAGCACTCTCTGAGCAGTTTACAATGTCAGTATTATTTGCATATTTTCCCCAACAGTCCGGGTCCTCATTTTACCAACCTTGGAAGGATGGAAGGTTGTGTCAACCTAGAACCCCCATCAGGGCTGAACTCCAGGTTATGGGAAGAATTTGCCTGCAATACACTGCATTCTAAGCACTGTGCCACCAGGGCTCCTGACATTTTTGCTGGAGAACAAAAAACTGCAAAAAATCACCAGAAATCTGTATGGGCTTGGAGAATACATATCAAACATTGTTCTGCATTGTTATTTTAAAATGTATTAATAATTTATTAATCAAATTTATACAGCCATCCATCTCAAGAAAAGTGATTCTGGGTGGGATGCAATTAATCAATAAAAATGATGCATATATAAAAATGGGCATTTAAAAATATAAAAATCAACATTAAGGCTTAATTAAAACTAAACATATATGCAAAGGCCAGAGAGAGAATAAGTATATATATTCTCAATAGTAGAACCATCTAAATAAGACTCAAGTTCCCTGGGATCCCCCAGGCCTAATGGCACAACCAGATCTTGAGGGACTTTCAAAACATCAAAAAGGATGGAGCTGACCTAATGTCTGAAGGAAGAATGTTCTGTAAGGAAGTGCCATGGCAAAAAAACTTGCCTCCTGAGATCCAACAAATTGTTCCCTTTTTTTTCTTACTTATGTTATGAAAAAAAAATCATACTTCCTTATCCTTTTTCTTTCATTGTCCTCTCATTGTTTGGATTTTTAAAGGCCAGTTTATAGCCAGGACTTGGATATGAAGAAAACTTCACTGGTTGAGCCATAGCAATTTATATTACTGGCCAACTTCACAGAGAAGACATCTGCCCTTGTGCTTCAGCTTGAAATTGGTCAGCTAGAATCCACCTTCTTTCCCCACAAAACAAGGTTCTCCAAGAAGTGGTAGCAGATTGACCGTGTCTTGATGGAAACAAATCCCTTTGTGCCAGTTACAATAACATCTGCTCCCCAATGGGCGCTATCTAACAAAATGAAATTCAATGGTGAAAAAAAAAATAAGGTTCTACATTTAGGCAAGAAAAACCAAATGTACAGGTATAGTATAGGTCAGTGGTTCTCAACCTGTGGGTCGGGACCCCATTTGGGGTCGAATGACCATTTCACGGGGGTCGCCAAACAATGCAGTTCGCCATTTTCCCCCCCTTTTCCTTAGCTGTGCTACTCCTTTTTATTCTATTGGCTTTTGAAAGCCAATAGAATAGACTCTCTTGAATAAAGTCTAATTCCACTGGCTTTCAAATGCCAATAGGAATTGTCCAGGCTGTCTGCCCTGCTGAGCCCGCCAAAAGTCCCATTCTGACCGGTTGGGTAGTCCTCGACTTACAACCGGTTGGGGGTCGCGGCATTAAAAAGGTTGAGAACCACTGGTATAGGTCATGCTGGCTCACGAATTCTGGGAATTGAAGTCCACGAGTCATAAAAGAGCCAAGGTTGCCTACCCCTGGTATAGGTGGCACCTTGCTCAATAGTAGTAACTGTGAGAGGGATCTCAGTCTTAGTGGACAATCACTTAAATATGAGCCAGCAGTGTGCTGCAGCTGCCAAAAAAAAACCTAACACAGTGCTAGGCTGCATTAGCAGAGGGATAGAATCAAGATCACGTGAAGTATTAATACCATTTTACAATGCCTTGGCAAGGCCACACTTGAAATTCTGCATCCAGGTTTGGTCACCACAATGTAAAAAAAAATGTTGAGACTCTAGAAAGAGTACAGAGAAGAGCAACAAAGATGATTAGGGACTGGAGGCTAAAACATATAAAGAACGGTTGCTGGAATTGGGTATGTCTAGTTTAATGAAGAGAAGGACGAGGGGGGACATGATAGCAGCGTTCCAATATCTCAGGGGCTGCCACAAAGAAGAGGGAGTCAAGCTATTTTCCAAAGCACCTGAAGGCAGGACAAGAAGCAACGGGTGGAAACTAATCAAGGAGAGAAGCAACCTAGAACTAAGGAGAAACTTCCTGACAGTTAGAACAATTACCCAGTGGAACAACCTGCCTCCAGAAGTGGTGAATGCTCCAACACTGGAGGTTTTTAAGAAGAGACTGGACAGCCATTTGTCTGAAATGGTACAGAGCAGTGGTTCTCAACCTTTCTAATGCCGCAACCCCATAATACAGTTCCCCATGTTGTGGTGACCCCCAACCACTTATACATCACTGGGTGCCAGGGCTGTGGCCAAAGAAAAGGGGGAAAAATGATGGACAGCCTTGTTTGGCGACCCCCGTGAAATGGTCGTTCGACCCCAAATGGGGTCCCGACCCACAGGTTGAGAACCACTGGTATAGAGTTTCCTGCCTGAGCAGGGGGTTGGACTAGATGACCTCCAAAGTCTCTTCCAACTTTATTATTATTATTATTATTATTATTATTATTATTATTATTATTATCGTTGTTGTTATTGTTGTTGTTGTTGTCATTGTCATCATTATCATTATCATTAACAAGCTCCCATTTGAAAAATGCTGTTGTGAAAGACACAACACTGTTCCTGGCAGTGTTTAATAGCTCTTATTCTCAGGAAATTCCTCTTAATATTCAGCCTGAATCTCTTTTTAATATCATCCAGTAGTTTTTATGCTGCTTTCGCTTTTAGCGGTCATTCTCCTTTTGCGTGCGATGGCCTTTTAGATATTGGTCACCCCTATTATATCTCTCTGTTTTGTAAGCTAAACATGTCCAGCCCTTTTAAGGACTGTTCCTAGGGTTTGGTTTCCAAGCCTCTCATTATGTATCCCTCCACTGAAATTGCTCCAGCATCTCTGGGTCTCTTAAGTGTGGTATCCAAATGGATTCAATGCTCCCAGCATAGTTGCAAGTATCAGTTGGATCCAATGTTCCCAGCACATTCATGTAGAGCTTAATGGAATTATTTCCTTCTGTGCTCTGGATATAAAACGTCCATTAATAAAGCCCAAGATTGCATTGTCCTTTTTGTTGTTGCATCAAACTTTTATTCTTATATATCCGTTAGTACATTTGGATCCTTGGATTCATTTGATACATACCACCCCCAAGCCAAGTTTCTTCAGTTCTGTACTTAAAATTTGATTTTTCATGTAAAGAAAAAACCTTATACATTTCATTACTGGATGCTATTTTTTGGCTTTGACCCAATGTTTAATCCTATTGAAATTTTATTGGTTAAGGTATTCACCAGGACCTGTAATGTATTATCTACAAATTCAATGAAGAGACAAATATTGACCCCTCTATCAGACCTCTGACTCTTTCTGCACATATATGAGCAAAAGGTATGCCTGACAAGAGTTTTACTTTCTTTAATTGCAAAATTTATTAAAATAATTTTAATCTGTTGAATTAAAATAAACAATGACAAGAACAAAATGAGTGGAAAATAGAAAATATTGTACACAAGTCATAATGATCAGGATCATATTGAGACCGATTGACATATCCTGATCCACATGAATATTCTTGGTTACTTTTATTCTATTTATTGCATCTTTCACACTTAGGTTTCTAAAGCAATAATGTGAAACAGATGCAGTAGATATAAACAATATTCTGTGAGGAAATATTTCCAAGAATATACAAAGTCAAAACCAGAAAATATAGCTTATTTTATCAAAAGACCAAATCTTTACCATTTTAAGCATTTTTTTAAAATAAAAAAATATAAAGTTAGGCATAAATCTTTTATTACGAAGTCTTATAAATGCAAATTTTCCCAAAACTGTGGCAGAAATAATTTTTCCAGTTCATATTGGAAACAGATGTTTGACATATGAATTAAGTATGTACAGTAAATAGCCTATTTCCAAGCTTAGTTGCTTTTTAGATCGAACAAACAAAGCTACCGTATATGATAGAATACGGTACTGAAAAGAGCATAAGCATGACACATACTCTTATTTTCACATAGCCTTTAGGGGAAGAGTGATTTACTATTATTCAAAATCACAATTATACATCTTTTCTGAACAACTGAAATGAATGTGTCCCAATATGGTGATCATTATTCAGTGCAGAGGATAGACAGAGCAGTGTGTGTATGTATGTGTGTTTGTTTATTTGTTTGTGTAGGGGGGGAAGTAACTGAAAAAGCTTTGTAACTTCTCTCCCTGTTTTTAATTAAATTCGGTTGCCATTGATACATAAGGCCAGTTTGAACTTATCTATACCTGTTTGGAGGATAAGGGAAAGTTTGATTTACATAATTTGGAATGTAGTCAGAGGTTAGATCATGCAGAAGTTACTTAAATGTGTATTAAATGCGTAAATAATAACAGCAGAACATTGCACTTCTCAAAATAAATGCCTACCTGGGTCTCCCAAACAATATTTTTTTAAAAAATAAATATTTTAATTTTCATTTTTGTAGTAAACACTGGAGCAACAGAAAGCAAAAGAGGACCACAGAATGAAATTGTAGCAGTAAATCTATTGAAGTTACCAAGTTATTTTGAAGCTAATTATGGCTGTGTGCAAAGCAAATGAAGTGAGAAGAACTGAATTAATGAAGACCAGCTACCTCCTACAAGCTAATGAGGCATGTTTTATACCAATAGCTCTTCAAATTGAAAAATTAAACCACTTGAAAAGGAAAAAAAAAATACTAGGAAATTTTGTTAAGATTAGCAGAGAACACAGAAAAATCTTATAGTGGAATTTATGTTCCCAAATTGCTTAGAGACTAGACTGGGCATAGTTACTGTTCTTCCTTTGAGATCTGGCTATTTTTGATGTTGATTTTTCCCTCAAATCCATGTAGGGTTTCCTCTACCTCTGTTATCTCTTGTGAGGTAATTATTTCTTAGTGTATTATTTTCCCTCTTAATATGTTACAAATTATCCATTTTATTTTTTTTTACACAAATACACTGTATTAGTATCTTTTTATTCTTTCAAATTCAATGGAATTTTAAAAAATAATTAGGAAAAGGACCCAGAACTCTGTCCATCTGTCTGTCCATCCATTCGCAGGATAACTCTCCAAAATCTGAATCTGGTGTATGTGAACAAGCCAGCAAAACAATGACTCAGTGAAAAAATAATTTGGATCAGGCTTGGGATCGTGGCGAACTATTTTTTTAGAAAAATTCCCCCAGTACATCTCTATGGAAAAGCCAAGTGGATATTAGGCCCTACTCAGCTGCACACATACACACACACACACAAACAAGCACACACACATACACACAGATTCTCACAGCTTCTTATTAGCCAAATCTGTTGAAAGAAAGAAGGGTTCAGGTTGTATATGTATATGATGGATACTAAGAAGGGGAAGAGCTCACTTAGAATAGCACACATAGGTGTCCAGAGGCTGACTGTGGAACAGATCACAAAACGCTTGTCTTCATATTCATTTCCAAAGCAAGTTTCCCAAGCAAGCTGAGCAGTGATGGGATTCAAATATGTAAACAACCGGTTCTCTGCATGGATGCTGCTTCTGGAAGTCCATCCTGGGCCTGGCCAACAAAAAATTAGCTACCGGTTCTGCCGAAGTGGTGCGAACTGGCTGAATCCCACCACTGAAGCTGAGGCGTCTTTTCAAAAGAGTCCTTTAGATAGTGAAGATTTATGAAGGCAACTTGGCTTTGCAAAAGATTCAGGGAATCATATGTTTACCTGAGAAGCTGGGTCAGAAAAGGAAGACAGAAAAGAGAGCCAGTTGCTTTTGTTTTGGTCTCATAACTGGGTACAAAGAAGAAAGGTTAGTGTGGGAACTGTGGGAGAAAAGGCAGCTTGGGAGGGAATGAATGGTAACATTTGCTGAAGCTGCCTGCCCTGCAAGGCTAGGGCCAAAAGGGTGTAGATGGAGGGGATGACGGGTGGGGGAGCTGCCCTGCTTCTGCGGTCATAACGTGTGGGTGGACTGCCAAGCACCTGAATACAGATAGACTTACGACCACAGTTGAGCTCAAAATTTCCATTGCTAAGTGAGACAGTTGTTAAGTGTGTTTTGCCCCATTTTACAGCCCTTGTTGTCATAGTTGTTAAGTGAAATAACTGTATTTGTTAAGTTAGTAACATGGCTGTTAAGTGAATCTGGCTTCCCCATTGACTTTGCTTGTCAGAAGGTCACCAAAGAGAATGGCATGTGCCCAGGACACTGCAACTGTCATAAATACATGTCAGTTGCCAAGTATCTGAATTTTGATCATGTGACTGCAATGGTCGTAAGCGTGAAAAAAGGGTCCTTTTTCCAGTGCCCTTGTAACTTCATACAGTCACTAAACAAACTTTTGTAAGTTGAGGACTACCTGTATTGATCACTGCTGGAGAGCTGCAATGGCTATAATTTCAAATACGGATCATTAGTCTATTGTTTTTAGCACCATCATAGTTTCAAATGGTTGCTTAAGGAATTGACATAAGACAAGGATTATCTGCATTATTACTGTGCATTTGGGTCAGTCTTGACTCCTGGTGACTGCCTGGACAAGTTCCTGAAAGTTTCTTGACAAGATTTTGAAATAGTTTGCCCTTGCTGCTTTCCTAGGGCTAAGATAGAGTGACTGGCTCAAGGCCACTTAGTGCCTAAAGCAGGTTTTGTGCCTAAGGCAGGACTAGAACTCAGGCTCTCCCAGTTTCTGGCCTAGTGCCTTAATCATTACACCAAACTGGCTCTTCAGCTGGATAAATGTAGCTCTGGAATTTTCCAGGATATTAAAAATATCTTGATATCATACTTCTTGAGAAATAATTGTGGATATCAGTTTATATCAATAGGTTATATTCAACATCTCACAAACGTAGACCTGCTATCAGCAAGATAATTCTTCCCTATTTTTTGCCTTCTCCTTTCTCCATAAAATAATATGTTCATGTAATACATAGGCATGCACACTAATAATTTATCTTGAAATTCATAAATATATGAAGACACTGGCATTTACGCAAACAATGAAAATACAGAACATCGTGTTCCTAACTATTATAAATCTGCTGATGATAACTTGTTTTGCTCATTTATACCTTTGAATGTGTAATAATAACAACAAATTAAAAGGCTGAAAGGCTGATGCAATTGTGAACAAATAAATGTGAATCACATGATGTTTTGTTACAAAATCAAACTCAATATAAGTTCCTTCAGAATTTACTCTGCTTTTTAAAATGTTCCCTTATTTTTATGGAATTGTCTAAGAACTAGAGTAAAATCTAACCATGTATATGTTTTTTAAAAAACAAACAAACAAACAAAAACATGTGTATAACATAAAAAAAATATTGGGGTCGCTGAGACTTGGATGAAGAAGATAAACTGTGCTATTAAAAGGTGTGAAAATGACTATTTCCAGGCCTTTGTCTGACATGTTCTTGTAATCAAATAATGTATCTGCATGGTCCATGATTACATTACTGCTGAATACATGCATAATGAGACTACATTTAATGCAGTGCAAAGCAAATATATTTCTGCTTTCAGTTTTGTTCATTTTTGTCTTTTTCTAAGCTACAATAAGCTTGCATTGATAAGGCAGCTGCTGCAGTAGACTTAGACCTTTGACCGTTGGCGTTTTCCCTGAAATCTCATTTCTGGCTAACATTTAGAAAGAAAGGAAAAGGTACCAGGGATGCTTTTGGGATATTTTAGTCATCTCAGAAGAGTTTGCTGCTAGCATTGCAATCTGGCAGAAAACCTGCCTATCTTTTGTTTACTGGCAGTATAAGGGGATTAATCAGTGTTAGTTTAAGAAAGTGTGGTTCAGGAAGAATACATCAGTAATTGCATGCGTCAAGTTCCTTGAAATTGTGGAATAGGCACCTGCCTGTATGCTGTCAGAGGAAACCAACCAGGGTATTGGACTTGATACTGAAAGTATTTGTTGTCTCCAGAAAGAAGAGATTGAAACTGACTCCCCATCCCAAAGAGAGGGCTGCCTATTCATTTTCAATTATTTTTTTTTTCTTCATTACGGAGCTGAGTCAATATGTATGTTTGGAACAGATGCTGTTGGTTAGAAGATTTTAGTATCTTGTGGAAGGGTGGAGGTTTATTATTTTGAACTGGGTGGTGGTAGAGCCTTTTGGGGTCATTTCCCTACTGGACTGAGTAGGACTGGCCCTCTGTTTTTTCCATAGGGTTTATATCTAGTGCCTGACTGTTTGGCAGCTTGGAAAGGAAGGTCCATTCCCTTACCTGTTGTGGCTTGGAGAATTAACCTGGTGGATTGGAACTGGTTGCAGGGCAGCAAGCTGGCTGGACCACCAGTTGCAGGGATTGGCTTCTTCATACTGAAGGTGCTGGGTGTGTTTTATGGTGACTGGCAATGCAATGGTGGGAAGCATGCCAGAACCTTTGCTGCTGTTGATGGAAGAAGCTCCATTGGCCTGTGGCAGGGACAGCTCTATATAGCAAGGCAGACAGGGCTACTGGATCATGGATGAGAGCTCCCTTTTTTCCCATTGTGATGAGGGATTTTGCTGTGGTGGAGGCAGGGTTGGATGAGATGGGTTATGCTACTGGGCCATGTGGCTGTAACTCTTTCCCCCGCACACACAGTCAGACAGCCATTTTGCCTCCTCTCTGGCTGGAAGCTGGAAGGCATTTGTGACAACTATTTCTGTGTGGGCTGTTTCAAGAGGTAGCCATCACAATGCAAGAGGATTTTGAATGAGAGGATTGGATTAAAGAACTGGGACTGGTTATCTTGTGGGAAAGTTTTGGTTTGTGGATTGTGATTCTGCCCATTCCTAGGGGAGGAAGCCTTTATGGATTAGAGATTGTATCCATTTTGGGAAAGTTGAAAGTGGTTGCATGGCAGCTTCAAAGTTTCTACTTGCCCAAATCAGTCCAGCAAATTGGACATGTTACAGGTCCCATCAGCCAAGGAAAGTCAATTGATGGGAACTAGGAGACTTGCCTTTTCTGCTATAGCCCCTGCCCTCTGGACCCCTCTCTTTTCAGAGATCAAGATGACCTTGACCCTTGCTGGAAAGATGCCTGGCTGTAGGGCCCACTGTAGTTACTGTGCAATGTTGTATCATGTGGCTACATCTGTAAAAGTGAAATAAATGACAGTGAGACATCTGTCTAAGCTCTGCCAGAATTCTTTATTACAGTTCCTTTGTTGTCATGGGAAGATAAAATGGAAAGCCTAGCAAAGTTTGGTCTAATGGTTAAGGCACCAGGGTAGAAATCAGGAGACTGTGAAAAAACAGTCCAACCTATCAACCTATCAAAACCAGTACTGTAAAAACCAGATTAAAAACACGTTAAGATAGGCAAGAAAATGATAAGTGAGCAGCTGTCCACCCTAGACGAGTTCAAATCACCAGGACCAGATGGATTACACCCCAAGGGTCTGAAGGAACTTGCAGACGTGATCCCAGAACTACTGAACTATATTTTTCAAAGATCCTGGAGCACTGGGGAACTACCAGAGGACTGGAAAAGAGCTGATGTAGTTTCCATCTTCAAAAAATGAAAAAAAAATGGATCCAGGAAATTACAGACATATCAGCCCTACCTCAATACCTGGGAAGATTATGGAAAAGGTAATCAAGCAATGAATCAGTGAAGCCCTAGAGGCAAACAAAGTCATAACCAAAAGTCAATGTGAGTTTGTCAAAAACAGATCATGCCAGACAAATCTT